GGACAGTTTGAGGTCCTCCAGAGTATCTTGCTTCTCTACCACTTATTTTATGTAAAAAGAACAAGATAATAGAAAGCAACAAATCATTAAATGAGATATTGATCTCTCCTTTGCACAGTGGAATTTATTTCCTCCTCTTTTTATGAACAAACATAGATCATTTTAATGATTTCCCTGAAATGTAATTAGAATTTGTTAAGCATTACCATGTCACTAAGGGACACTGGTTATTCTAGTCTCAGATTGATGCTAGTGGTTCAGCACTTGTCAAAGTAAAGAAACACCTGTCCACTAGGGATGCAATATGTTCTAAAACGTGGCTTTTACTTTCTCTTGTCTTTGCACATAGGCTAAAACAGAAGAGCTGCTTTCTAGATCTTTTTCTATAGGGTAAGGACTTCTTTTTGAAGATTGTCACATAGGAGATCCAAACAACTGAGCAGAATTTGTTTTACATATTTCTTATGAGGCATATCTATTCTGCCCTTTAAGAAGCAAAACATTTGATAGGCTGGTCTGTGTCTTTAATCCTTTGTCTGGGAGGCAGAAGGGCAGACAGCCACATTCAAATGACTGGTGCCTCCAATTTTGTGAAAGCCTCAGGGGACTGCCAGCATAAACAAATCCATTTGACTCCCATTGACGTATGAAAATTGGGCAGCTTCAGAGGCAACTAAGAAGACTGCCATGGGGGCAAGGTTCCAGGCTTCCAATCCAAATGTCAGGACACTTGGTACAAAATCTAAAGTTGCATGTGATTGGCACAGATGTTCATAGTTACTGCCTGAACCTGTTACTACTTTCATTTACAAGCAGTGTTCAAATGACTATATACCAAAAATCAAAATGTGGTATATACATACCATGGAATATTATTCAGCCAAAAAGGAAGGGAATTCTGGCACATCCTACAACATGGATGAACCTTGCAGACATTATGCTAAGTGAAATAGCCAGATGCAAAAGAACAAGTAGTGTATGATTCCTCTTGTAAGAGGTACCAAGAGAAGTTAAATTCATAGAGACAGAAGGTAGAATGGTGGTTGCCAGAGTAGGCAAAGTGTAGGAAATAAGAAGTTGTTTCATGGGTACAGTTTACTTTTGCAAGATGAAAAAAGTTCTAGAGATGAATTATGGTGATGGTTGCACAATAATGTGAATGCACTTAATGACACTGAAATAGATGCCTAAGGTGGATAAAATGGCATGTCATATTATGTAAATTTTACCATAATTAAAAGTATAAAGAAATTTAAAATAATTTTAATCACCATATACCATAAATGAATTAACAACACAGGGATATAGAAGAATACCATACTGGATCAGGCCAGTGGGCTCCTGTAGGAATGCCAAAAGCTGAGCAAGGAGAACCCAGTGATCTTTGTGACTCTCCATTCTCACCTCTTGCACTGCCAAGGGCCTTGAGACATACCCATCTTTCTTCTTCCCTATGGTCGTGTTACCCACCAATTTGCCTAACGCCTTGTTCATGAAAGATGATTGCTGGTGATCTCTGTGGGATGGAGGAGTTGGGATGGTGGTTATGAGAGCAACCGAGCTGGCCTTCTCTGGATGAAAGGATGAATGCCCAGGCCTTGTTTGTTTTTTCTCTTTCTTTTCTTTTCTTTTTTTTTTTTTTTTTTTGAGATGGAGTCTCACTTTGTTGCCCAGGCTGGAGTGCAGTGGCATGATCTCAGCTCACTGCAACCTCCACCTCCCAGGTCCAAGGGATTTTCCTGCCTCAGCCTCCCGAGTAGCTGGGATGACAAGCATGTGCCACTACACATGGCTAATTTTTGTATCTTTAGTAGAGATGGGGTTTCGCCATGTTGGGCAGGCTGGCCTTGAACTCCTGACCTCGGGTGGTCCATCCGCCTCGGCCTCCCAAAGTACTGAGATTACAGGCATGCGCTACTGCGCCTAGCCAGGCCTTGTTTTTACACATGCATACACACACAAAGATGGGAAGAATTTTGTCTTGGACACCTGCCATCGCCATTAAAACCCAGACTCCCCTGGGCACATACCTAGCAGCCTTATGCTGCCCCCACATGGCCTTGGAATCTCCCTTGGTACTCTGCCTGACCCGGTCTTCTATAACAATGCTTAGTTGCTAAACCTTTCTGCCCTCTCTAAAAACCACCAGTCAGCAACTCAATTGGCAGGGATCTAATAAGTAACATTTTAAAATGTGTGTGTGTGTGTATATATATATATATATATATATATATATATATATTTTTTTTTTAATTTAATTTAATTTTTTTTGAGACAGAGTTTCACTCTTCTCGCCCAGGCTGGAGTGCGGTGGCGTGATCTCGGCTCACTGCAATCTCCACCTCCTGGGTTCAAGCGATTCTCCTGCCTCAGCCTCCTGAGTAGCTAGGATTATAGGCGCACGCCACCACACCTGGCTAATTTTTATATTTTTAGTAGAGATAAGGTTTCACCATGTTGGCTGGGCTGGTCTCAAACTCCTGACCTCAGGTGATCCTCCCACCTTGGTGTCCCAAAATGCTGGAATTACAGGCGTGAGCCACTGCACCCGGCCTCTAAAATGTTAATAGCTAACAAGGCAAATGTGATTCCCCTCACTTTGTTATTTACCCTTCCTACCTAAAAGTTGTAAGTCTAATAATGAAACTTCTATCATCTCACACAAAATAAAGAGGCTATGTGCCTACCTGCAAACAGTGGACTCTGACTCCCAGGCCTAATTTTAGATAGAATTATGAATTGGTCAGACTTTGGGATTATTCTCTTGTCAAATAATCTCTTTATACAGAGAATTTGTGACTTATTCTCTTCCCTGCAGAGACTAACAGAATGCCTGGAATGTACTATAAACAATTCTAAAACTATTGAGTGTCTCAATGCATTTCCAAGACATGGATATGGGCTTTCCGGGGCTTCTCCTCTGGAATTCTCCTCTGGAATTCATAGATGTGTGTCAAATGCTTCCATTTCTTCTTTTCTCCCTCTTCCTTGTAAACTTAGGTAACCCACAGCATCTGCCTATATCCCTTTTGGGTCAAAAGAGCCTGGGGAAAGTGTGTGGGTTAAATCACTCTTAAAGGAGTAATTTAAGATACCAAGACACAGTTCTCTCCTGGAAATCTCCCTCCACTGTGGTTTGGATATGACATAGTCAAGAGGCTAATCATGAGACTTTGTTCAGTCTGTCTTCAGGTGTGTCAGTATTTGATAAGTGGCTTCCGTTTTACGTAACAACCGGCTGATCTTACCCCAATTTTCATTCTTTTCAGAGCATTCTGGAGCTGGAGAAGGAAAGAATTCAACTTTTATGCAATAACTTAAACCAGTACAGCCAACATATTTCTCTTTTTGGCCAAACCCTGACCACAGTGAGTAGAGATGATCTCTCCATTTCTGGTATGCCTGGTAAGAAGGGGCAGAAACCTTTCTTCGACAACCTTATTCTGCTCCCCTTGGCATTGCAGTGCCACACGCAGATTCACTGTGCCATCAGCAAGATTGACATTGAAAAAGATATCCAGGCTCTAATGGAAGAAACTGCAATTTTATCTACAGAAAACAAATCTGAGTTCCTGTTAACAGATTACTTTGTAAGTATGAAATGGAAAAAAATAAGTTACATTAATGAAGAATCTTAGGTACTGAGGGAATTATATGGAAAAAATTGAAAGCAAATATCATGTTTTATAAATGAAAATGATTTCTCATAGCCCATATAAATAAAAACACCCAGCGTTCTAGTTTACAAACTGGGCAATGGAAACATGTCTTTGGTATTTTCTAGAAGGAAAGAAAGTCAAGCAGGGTTTTAAACAGAATCTTCATATTCGGTCTTCTATAAAAGTATCGCCAGGTAGATATGTTTCAATGACCTATAATTAATCACTGTATATCACGTGGTGCTTAAATTCATTGTCTGCACAAATTGCTGTGCGACAAATCACCACCCCCCCCACCACCTCCCCCTGCCAAAATAATGGCTTAAAACAAACATGTATTATCTCATAGTTTGTGGGTCAAGAATTCAGTTGTCTTAGCCAGGTGTCTCTGAGCCTCTCCCAAGGCTGCAATCAAGGTGTCAGGCTGGGCTGCAGACACCTCCAGGCTCTTCCTGCAGAAGACTCACTTCCAAGCTGACTCACAGGGCTGTTGGCAGGCCTCTGGTGCTCACTGCTGTTGGTTGGAGATACCATTTTCTTGCCACGTGGGTCTCTCCATGTCTCAGCCTGCTCCCCGCAGAATAAGTGATAGAGCCAGAGTGCCCAATAAATTATAATCTTTTGTGAGCTAATCTCAGAAGTGACATCTCATAATATTCTATTTGCTAGAAGCAAGTCAATAAGTGCAGCCCATACTCAAAGGTGAGTGTGAGCGGAGATCACCCAAAAGCATGGGTTCTAGGAAGTGGGAGTCACTGTCAGTATTTTTCATGGTCCCTTCCCTTGAAAACCTTGGACCAGATTACCGGAGGCTTATTTTGAGGGCATTTGAGTGATTCTACTGTGGGTGTTTTGGCTGAAAACTGGTCAGCGTCCCTCGTGAGAGCCTAAGCATGTTGCCTCTTTGCTATCTTGGGCAAATTATTTGTCCTTCTGGGTCAAGCCTCAAAGATTTTGGCCTCTGCTCCCCTCTTGATATTCTTAACTGTAGTGTTCTAGGAACTGATTATTAATTACCAAAATCTGCAGAAAGAATTCCTGATAGCGTTTCCCTGGGTCCTCTGCCATATTTTGTTCAGGATTTCACGCTCCAGATTAGGGGTGTCACTCTTCTCTGATACGGAGAACAAGCCCACTGATTATGTTCTCCATAGGGTTAGAAGTACAGCCAAAGCTGACCTTCCTAGACCTCTGATCAGGCAACAAGAGATGAGGGTAGAAGGGAGAGGCGGTTTAGATCAGGCACAGAAGTAAATCCTGACTGGCTTTCCCTTTCCCCACCCTTCAGAGAGCAGCAAATGACCAGCTACTTTTTATTGAGTCTTTTTTTTCCTACCCTGGCAAAGGAGAAACATATTAGCAATATCAATGTCTGTTCAATGCAGAAACAAGGTAGAAATGGAAGTGGAAATGATTTGATTACATTGGGAAAGCTCTTTTTTCTTCCAAATAATGTAGGCAGGGCCTGAGATGGAAAAATGTACAATAAAATAAATCTACTATTTTCTTACAAATAATAATAAAAATGCCCCTATCAAATAACTTGTCAGTAAAATGAAGATTATTCTCCTTGAAAATTTGACTAGGGTTCTACCAAAGTGTAAGGAGGCAGCCATGATGACTTCTCATTTATTGGCATGTTCAGAGAAATTTTTGGTTTCTATAAAACTTCACTGTGTCAGAACTCACAACCATGTATCTGTCGTCCAAGAGGAAGGACTGTGTCTCAAAATGAGTGAATAGTATTTTCTTGACATCTTTAAGGCAAAGTACCCCAGTGTCTGACTTTATAGTCATTGTAAGTGTAGGTTGGTTTTTATCCAGTGTTACGAAATTTACATGGACCAGGGACAACAAAGAGACCAATCTGAGTGCAACACTTGGAGGGCTGGTGACCTGGTGAAAATACTTGTAAGGTTACCATAAATGCCGTTCAAAAGATTGTATCTGTAATTTTATATGCCTCCTCCAGTACTGACCTTCTTCCTAACAAATCTTTAGAAGAGAAGGACAAATGTGAGAGTTAAACGATGGCAATATACCCCATCCTGAAACTGACCCAGGAACAATCTATCCCTGGAAATACATGTTTAAGCAAAAGATGTCCCCAAACAAACCAAGGGAAGCCTTGGACTGGTACGGGAGCTATGTGATGACTAACATTCCTTCAACAGGGAAGGACTAATGGTTTTAGTTAGGCATCTTAGCAGTTCAGTCAGAGTTTACTAGGGGGTGTGATGTCAGCTTGCGCCTTAGCTGTAGGCTGATATGTGAAAGGGTGGTAGAGAATTTGGGGTCAGCTTGGGCCTTCTTTTATTTATCTGTGTCACAGGTAAAATGAGGAAAATAAAACCAACCATTGAGTTGTAGGAGTTGCATATAATAAATAATATAAAGAAACTTTTATTTATTTATTTATTTATTTTGAGATGGAGTCTCGCTCTGTGGCCCAGGTTGGAGTGCAGTGGCACAATGTCAGTTCACTGCAACCTCTGCTCCTGGGTTCAAGTGATTCTCCGGCCCCAGCCTCCCAAGTAGCTGTGATTACAGGTGCACACCACCACACCCAGCTAATTTTTTGTATTTTTAGTAGACACAGGGTTTCACCATGTGTTGGCCAGGCTGGTCTCGAACTCCTGACCTCAAGCAATCCACCCACCTTGGCCTCCCAAAGTGCTGGGATTACGGGTGGGAACCACCGCACCTGGCCTAGAATATAAACTTTTGTAATGTACAATGCAAAATATGTAAATAAAATATTTTTATCTGTATATGTTTTTATAGAGGCTATTCCCTTTGCTCTAAATCCTCACACTTCTTGTTTGTGAAGCTCCATCTAAAGGTAATCTCTCAGCCGGGATCCTAATTTTTCTCCTTCCTTGTCAGAGAAGCCCGGCATCCTCCCCTCCCACCTTGAGTCATTAGTTTCCCCTCTTTCTCCATGGGTTTCTGTCCCTCTGCCACTCATGTTTAGCAACCTCCTCACTCCAACCCTACCATCCTATTCTTTTTATTCAATCCTTGAAATAATGCACGTGAAAGCTCAGATATCATGAATGATTCCTCATAGCCTATGTGATAAAATTCCTACATCAGCCTTAAAATCTAGTCTTAACTCCCTGAACAATTTTTTCTTCCACTATTTTTTTGCTCATGCAACAGGTGTCTTTATTGTTCCTGACACATTTCCCACAGTCCTCCCTCAGCCCTTTGCTCCCGCCATTTCTCCTGTCTGGAGTGCCCTTTGCCATCTTTCGTTGACTAGACAGTTAACGTCTTCTTGCCTCCTTGAAGCCATCAGCTGCCTCCACTTGTGGTGTCTGTACCATTCGTGAGTGCATGTGGTCTTGTATTGCTAGTTTCTTTCATGTTATGCTTCAAGGCCTAACTAAATCATAAACCCATTCTGGGCAGAGCATATGTGTTTTAGCTCACATCTTCCCAGTACTGAGCCAACACAGAACTCAGTCAAAATGTCTTCCACTCCTGAGGCAGTCATAGCCCGAAGCACATACATGATATTACATTTGGGCCATTAAAGGACTCTAACTTGAACAAAGGTAAATAAGGAAGCAGTAAGTATACAACAAATAGATTTATCAAGAAAATGAAATAACTGTAGCAAGGGTCCATCCTCAAAGAATAATTTGCTGTATTAAAAAGTGCTCGGCCATGTGACTTACAAGTTGTGAACAAGGAGGTATTTTCTTATTCATCAGGTCTAGAACAGGTAGAACGATGTATGTAAAACTAAAGATTATCCTGCTTAAAAAAATTTTTTTTGTAAAGTTAAAATTAAATGCAGCCAGTGGAAGTCTCAGTATGGACAGGGAATAGCAACTCTTACTTCTTCCCCTTGTTAGACATCCTTCTTTTTTCCTAAAGGAAGAAGATCCTAACAGTGCAATGGATAAAGAGAGACGAAAGTCTTTAATAAAACCAAAATTATTGAGACTGCAGAGAGACATTGAAAAAGCCTCAAAAGACAAGGAAGGTGTGTAACCATCTCTTCGAATGGCCAGAAAAGGGACCATATTATGCTCAGAGGTTTCATTCAGAGTTAGGATTAATCTGCTTTTGCTATTTGGCAGGGGTCATCTCATTTAAAGAACCATATATCAAACCTAAATTGTGTGAATAAAAAAAAAAAAAAGAAGAAAGCCAAAAAAAAAAAAAAAAAGGAAAATCACATTTTGGTCTATTTATGAAACCTATATAAGTATTATACTACTATTTTCAGAAATGTAGCATTTTAACTGTGTTTCTGAAGTTGGCTAGAATGAGAAATAATGTTTGGTTTAGAACATGGTAAACCAACTGTGCACAAGAGTTTTGGAGGATTTTTTTGGTTTGTGTCTTTTGACTTTTGAAACAATGTAAAAATCATTCAAATTAAATTCTGTACATAGAAGTTAGGCGTATTAGAATGTGAAGCAGCTCTAAAGCAACATGGATGACAAAAATGACTCCACATTCGTGGATCTGATGTCTACACAGTAGCTTGTTTTATATGGATCACAATTACTCATTGCAGTGGAATACTAGAGAGCAAATTCAAGATAGAAAATATTTAGTGATGTGAATACCATAATGAGGAAGAAGCCAACATTGTGTAAATGTTAGCAATCGCTAGAATGGGTCAACTGAAAGAAATTCAAAATCTCATCTGGAAACATAACAATCAAGATGCTTTAAGCACCAGCATTTCTCAAATTTCATTAAGTGAAGAGAAAGGTAAACGAACAGTTCATTTATCATTCAGTCAGATTTATTAAGAACTACCTGCAGAGACTCCCTCAGCCATTTAAGAAATCCTACTGGTGGCTGGGTGCTGTGGCTCATGCCTATAATCCTAACACTTTGGGAAGCCAAGGCGGGTGGATCACAAGGTCAGGTGTTGGAGACCAGCTTGGCCAACATGATGAAACTGTGTCTCTACTAAAAGAACAAAAATTAGCTGGATGTGGTGGCACACACCTGTAATTCCAGCTACTCAAGAGGCTGAGGGAGGAGAACTGCTTGAACCTGGGAGGTAGAGGTTGCAGTGAGCCAAGATCATGCCACTGCACTCTAGCTTGGGTGACAGAGCAAGACTCCGTCTTAAAAAAAAAAAAAAAATCACTGGTATCACTTCTAGGCTCCCTTTGAGAGTGACTGACTCCCAGCTGTGTCCCACTGAGACAGTGTGAAAGGTGACTGAGAACATTATTTCATTTTCAGGCCTGGAACGAATGCTTAAAACATACTCCAGCAACTCCTCCTTCTCTGATGCAAAGAGCCAGAAAGACACAGCAGCGTTAATGGATGAGGTAAATGTTTGCAGAGTGCAGTTTCCTAGATTTAGTGATGAAAGGGTTATTTTTAGAATACTTGTTTCTGGTCCGCTTGGCCTTGTTTGCCTTTCTTTCCTTTCTCATGACATAGAACAATCTAGTGGGAGAGCTTATAGGGTCAGCTTCATAAGTCATTTGAGGGATCTGGAAAAATCCAACTACCTAGAAATGTTTGCTTTGGTGTCCTAGGAAAAGAAGTGTGTCTAAAATAGTACTCTCCAAAACAGTCATTCTTTAAGGGCCTAGAAAACATGTGCACTTTAACCCAGTTAAGAAAAGTGACAGGAAATACAGGATCTGCATTCAGAAAGGCCTGTATTTAGATTTAGCTCTGCTGTTTACAGGGACCTGGGGCAACTTTAGTGTTCTCATCTGCAAAATGGGGATATTGGTACTAACCTCATGGGGTTTTTATGAGGGTGAAATATTATTTAGTAAATGCTAGCACAATGCTCACAGGAGGAGCTCAAAAACTAGTAATTTTTATTAAGATGGTATTTTCCATTCATCCCTCTGCTGATCTGTTATCGGAGAATAACAGGAGAAAGGAAAGGCGTGGCTGCACAGAGGGAAGAGGGCTGTCTGGGGTGTGAGGCAAAATCTTGGGAAACCAGGAGCAACTTTGGAGGCGAAGTTCTTTGAGGGTGGAAATTGGGGTGGGGAGATGGTAGAAGAGGCAGGGAGGTGGGCCTCCTGGCCTTTGTGCTGAGTGTGTGAACTCTAGCCCCAAAGACATTTGTGGGGACTGATGGACATTTTGGCCACTTCAGAGGAACCCACATGAAAGGGGTAGTTAACAAAAAGCTGATGAATTTTACATAGGAATAAAAATGAACAGATATATAGCACCAGTGTGCAACATATGGGTTTCTGCTGTGATTAGAGATCAGGAGTGGACTGGGGTTAATCTGAGAATCATTTAAGGAGATAAATTTTTTAGCAATGTTTTGAAGGATACAGGAATCTGGGTGTTTTCTTTTTCTTGCTTATAGCCTAACTTTCTTGTGAATGTAGGTACCTGATAATTGTACCCAGATTGGCAATTTCAATAGTTCTTTGGTGAAAGAAGACAGATGCAGTGAGGTATCGCTGACCTAGTGTTTAGATAGGCTTTCTTGAGTAGGGTGCTGTTGCAGAGACAAGCCTGACACTTCTTAGGAAAAGAAAGGCCTGCATTGTGTGCACTTGGGAACAGAGGTCTAACATACCTGCAATGACCTGTGGCTACAATTTTTATGAAATTATAAAACAGACTGTAGGACATTTTCTGTGACCGCACAAACTGTTAACTATTCAATGCAAATAACATGTGCCAAAATAAAGTCATAAAGAGCATTTCATGATGCCATTTGGTTATACATTTATTCCTTTGGCTGTCCTTGCACAGAATGTTGTCATTGTCATTACCAGCATACGTGTATTAGGGTCATCTGGGTCCTCTTGCCTGAAGCACACAGTGGAGGACAAAAGGAGGGAGAGGATCTGACCCCGGAACTTCTGGTGTTTATGATCTGGTGAAGGAGCAACTGTGAACCTTTAAGTGATGACTGCCAAATATCCGCATGATTTCATTACGCATGCTCTGCATCTGGGTAGACAGAAACCAGTGATACTGGTAGATTTTGTGTCACGCAGGGAAGGTTTCTAGGATGAGGAAACTTTTATTTAAATTCTTCCTTATTTCATTGTATCTTGGTCCTTGAAGTACCATATTTGAATCCAGAATGTTCACAAGCAATGTCATAGGAGAAATTGTTGAGAAAATTGGAGGCATTTAGATTAAATACTGTCTTTAGATACCAGAAAGAGGGCCACATACAGGAGGAACTAGATGTGCTCTATGAGACTATCAAGTGAAGGTCTAAATAGAAGGCCTGGGGGAGCTTTTAGTTTTGTCTTGGGTAAACCTGCCCCACAATGCAGTAGATTCCTCCAACACTTAGAGACTTTCTCCATCAATTGGATGTCTTCTGTCCATGGCTGTGACACCCTGGCAGGGATATTAGGGTTAAGGAATTCCCATGCTGGAGGTGTGAGGGAGAGAGGGATAATGGTGATGAGGAGGCTGGATAAGCAGAACCCTTCCAATGCTTAGATGCTGTTGTTTAATTCACCTTGGCTGGACCCAGCCTGACAAGGTAATTATAAAGTTTCTAGATCAAGGTCAAATCAAGAACAGACAGAGACTAGGAGTGTATCTTTAGCTTGACTTAGTATTTTTATACTCAAATACCCTAGAATATTGTTCCCAGTTTCCAGAAGTATTCCTGTAAACTTTGTGGGTAATATGAGACTTCACCTTCTTGAAGAACAAACGAAGCTCACATTCAATTTCATTTGATTCTATTGATGTTAACTCAATTCTGTTCACAAGATTGAGCACTGATGGCTCACTTTCTTCACAGACCACCAAAAATCTACCTTCTCTAATCAACACTTATTCCCTTTCTCATCCCTCAGCAGAAAATTGAGTAAAAGCTCTTCATTGCCATCAAATACTATTACCAAGGTTTCCTGTTTACCCCAGAGTACAGAGTGAGACACACTCAACAACTAAAACCACCCTCTATACTGCTTAAAGAGTTTATTCCCCCATTTTTTTTCCTTCGGCATTTTCTATGAATATCTGTATGAGTTAAATGCATACTTTTCTAACCTTTGTTATTTTGAAAGTTATTCTGACATTCCTGTACAGTTGTGCCTCATTTACTAGAAATTTGCTCACATGGCCAAATGATGTATCCACAGAACAATTTGAAACTAGACCTTTTGGAAGCGAACTCCTACAAACTGTCATCAGTGTTAGCAGAACTTGAGCAAAGACCTCAACCCAGCCATCCTTGCAGTAACTCCATCTTCAGGTGGAGGGAAAAGGTAACATTCAAGGAGACTGGTTGTAAGTTCTTGATTGGGCCTGCTGGGTGGAGTGGCTTAAAGTAGCATCAGGGCAAAAAAGGTGTTAGGAATTCTTTTTTTTTTTTTTTTGAGATGGAGTCTCGCTCTGTCACCCAGGCTGGAGTGCAGTGGCGCGATCTCGGCTCACTGCAAGCTCCGCCTCCCGGGTTCACGCCATTCTCCTGCCTCAGTCTCCGAGTAGCTGGGACTACAGGCGCCCGCCACCTCGCCCGGCTAATTTTTTGTATTTTTAGTAGAGACGGGGTTTCACTGTGTTAGCCAGGATGGTCTCGATCTCCCAACCTCGTGATCCACCCGCCTCGGCCTCCCAAAGTGCTGGGATTACAGGCGTGAGCCACCGCACCCGGCCAGGTGTTAGGAATTCTATGTGATATTAATATTCATACACTTAATAAGATAAATGTTTTTATTTCTTTTGAGCACAACAAGAGCTAGACACAACCGAATATACTGTGTACACCAAACTTCTATGAGGAGCTAAAAAACACTTTCAATGTCTTCTGGCTCATCAAACCTGAATTTTATCCTTTGGATGTGCTTTTACAGTAAAATTTCTATTAAATTTAAATTTTAATATTCATACAGACCTAAATTATAAGATTTTGTGGTATGTATTAGTCTCATCTGTTTAACATGGTGCCTAATGCAGATAATGCATCAGTACAGCTCTGAAATTCACATACACCTATTTTCCTAGTGCTGCACTCCAGGAGTGGATGAGCAGGTGAACGTACATGGTAGCTATTGCTTGTGGTTACTGATCAGAAGGGGGAGCCGTAATCATCTTGTGAAGGGACGGTTTTCTAAGAGGCTCAAGAGCTCAAAAACAATCTCAGTCATTTAGAGGGTTGTGATCATTTCACTTGCATTAAGCCAACTAAAGTTGTATTTGTAAAAGTAATGTTATAAATGTTACTATTTGACCTAGACACACAGGTTAGAATTGGAAACACAGGCTATAAAGTACAGTAATTGTTTAATTTTGAAAATATTAAGGCTTCAACTCAAAACTGAAACACAGTAGGGCTTAGAAATCTATTGAATTATTTATACCCCTCAGTTTAAAAACTTCCAGTCCAGGCACAGTGGCTCATGCCTATAATCCCAGAACTTTAGGAGGCCGAGGTAGGCAGATCACCTGAGGTCAGGAGTTCCAGACCAGCCTGGCTGACATGGTGAAACCTGTCTCTGTTAAAAATACAAAAATTAGTCAGGCATGGTGGTGGGCACATGTAATCCCAGCTACCAGGGAGGCTGAGGCAGGAGAATCACTTGAACCCAGGTGGTGGAGGTTGTAGTGAGCTGAGATCATGCCACTGCACTCCAGCCTGGGTGACAGGGCAAGACTCTGTCTAAAAAAAAAAAAAAAAAAATCTTGAGGAAAACAGCTACAGAAGAGTTAATTTTCATGAATGTTTATGATAATCGTGTTATAAAATATGACTTTTTATACCATTTGAACAGGAGCATACTCATAGCTATGTGAAAATATCTCGGCCTTTTTTAATGAAGAGATTAGAGAATATTGTGAGCAAAGCATCTTCTGGTGGGCAGAGCAATCCAAGTTCTTCAACTCCAGGTAATCCCATGCCCACAGTCTTTTTGGCCTGGGTCCTACTGGCAGGGCACATTGCTACATTTAAACTTTATTTTCAGAGCCACTTTGACCTGTATCTGTTTAAGGAAATTTATATTTCCATCAGGACTGATTAATTTGTTAGACTCTGTAGCTTTATGTAAAAATGGGAGAAGTTAAGAAGAGTAGAGGGTTGGGAAAGTATTTTATAATGTGAGAAGTTGCCTCAGATATCAGATGGCTGGCATCCACCTTATTCAAATGGCCTGTTATTTGCCATCCACATAATCACACTTAAACCATTGTGAGGAGCTTTGTTACTCTGTCTCCCTAGCCTCCTCCAAACTCCCATCAGAAGCCTGTCCTCTCTGTGAGACACATAGTGATCCAGGTGGTTTGCCAGGGCTTGGTCTCATGGCCTACAAACCCCCGTTAGCAGTCATCTGACTTCAGTCATTCGTGCACCCACACACCACACTGCTCTTCATCTTTCAGCATACACACACATGTCACTGTCCCTGCATGTTCAAGTATAATTACCATAATCTTGACTATCTAGTTTTTTAAATTAGAAATTGGTTAAAAAAAAAAAAAAAAGAACTTCAGTAAAACCAGGACATTATGGTTCACACGATGTATTAAGGAGTCACCGCTGCATTGTTTGAGAAACAGTTCCATACACAGCTAGGGATGATAACATGCACATGCCCCAAATATCCCCTATTTATACCTGAATGGCAAAACTGGTGAATGTTTTCCAAAACATGCATGCAATATTTTTCTCTAGACTTACTATTTCATGTATTATAATATGGTTTTTGATTATATAACATATGCAGTCCATACATATAGAAAGTGCATCATAAATAGTTTTTGAATCAAGGAATGAAATTATGTAAAATTACAAACTTTCCCTTTGAGAAAAATTTAATATATTGAAACTCTGCACCACACTGTCAAATAACCAAAGAGCTTCAGCTCATATTCATTTGCCTGCTAACACAGCATAGTAATTACAGCTTAATCTATTTCAGTCCCTGGTGCAGCCCAGCTCAGCAGCAGACTTTGCAAGGCCTTATATTCTTTTCAAGCCAGGCAAGATGATGAGTTGAATTTGGAAAAGGGTAAGAATCATTCTCAAATATTTTAATTGCCTTCCCATATTGAGATTCTTAGCATGAATAAAACCCTGTCTTAGTGTGGCAGCCTTAAGAGTTACTACCATGTCAAATCAGTTTACCCTTCTTGAAAGATAAGCACATCTAAAACAAAAGCTCGCATAATGATAATAGCTAACACTTATTCTGTTTTCTATGTGCCAGACATTGTTGCAGGCATATTGTCCAATTTAATATTAATGAAACCCTTGGAGGGTTTTATTGGTTATTCCCATTTCATAGCAGAGGAGACTGACACTCAGAAAGGTTAGGTGCTTTGGCTAATGCCACAGGCTGTGGCAGCGCAGGATTTGAACTTGGAAACACAGCCATACTCCTAATCACAATGCACACTGGGGTAGAATGTCAGTAATGGAAAGTGATTAGAGGTGTACCCCACCTTTTTATTTTTTAGAAGCTAGACATGCAGGAATGTGAAGTGACTTCCTCTCTCAACTTAGTGAAAGTGCAAATTCTAGAACCTGGGTCAGTTGACTCCCAGCTTAGTGCTGGTCTCACTTCTCAGAAAAGCTTTTTATGTCCAGTCTAAAGAGTAAGACCCCCTTCTTTGTGTCACAGAGTTTTACTTAACATGGAAAGGTGTTATATAGTGGCTTTATAATATAAACCACAACATTATTAAAGAAAAAAGTCTCCAGCCTCAACCTTCATTATGTGTCCAGTTAGAAACCACGTTTGGATGTTAGTGCTAAGACAGAGATCTGGAAATGGAAGGGTTAGTGAGAAAGAGTAACGTTGTGGGAGAAAGTATATTATCCAAAATAAGAACACAGCTCCCAGAGCCAGTGGAAAATCAAGATACATTTTGTAGCCAAACGACAAGGACACTGCACATTTGCTATTTATTGGGTGTTTCCTTTGCAGCATTTGCCAGTCATCTCTCCCCAGGCAAAAACTTTTCTTCCTATGTGAATAAAA